TTGTTCTTGTTTATGTAGACGATCTTATCATTTCTGGAGATGACAAGGAGGGAATTCAGTCTACAAAAGCCTTTCTTAACTCGGTATTCGACATTAAAGACCTCGGCGAGCTCAAGTATTTCCTTGGCATTGAGGTGTGTAGGTCTCCTGAGGGTCTCTTTCTGTCTCAGAGGAAATACACAGTTGATCTTCTCAAAGAGACAGGAAAACTTGGAGCTAAACCAGCCAAAACGCCGCTTGAAGAGGGCTACAAAGTCAATCGAAAGGGGGAGAAATCAGATGAAGCCTTCAAGGATGTATTTAGGTATCGACGACTTGTTGGCAAACTGATCTATCTCACTCTCACAAGGCCAGATCTCTGCTTCGCCGTGAATCAAGTAAGCCAACATATGCAAGCTCCGACAGTGTATCATTGGGGTATGGTGGAAAGAATTCTCAGATACCTCAAAGGGAGTCCAGGACAAGGCATTTGGATGGGAAAGAACAATAATACAGAGATTGTGGGATATTGCGACTCAGATTGGGCTGGTGATCGTGTTGATAGAAAGTCAACAAGTGGGTATTGTACTTTCATTGGTGGAAATCTTGTAACCTGGAAGACTAAGAAGCAAAAGGTGGTCTCATGCTCAACCGCAGAAGCTGAATATAGGGCAATGAGGAAGCTTACAAGTGAATTAACCTGGCTTAAGGCGCTCCTTAAAGACCTTGGCATTGAGCAAGAAGGTCCGATTACAATGCATTGTGATAACCAAGCTGCTATACACATTGCAACAAACTCGGTGTTTCATGAGAGAACAAAGTCTATTGAAATAGATTGCCACAAGGTCCGTGAGAAGATTGAGGAAGGTGTGGTGTTACCGTGTTACACAAGAAGTGAAGACCAGTTGGCTGATATTTTCACTAAGGCTGCAAGTCTTAAAGTTTGCAACAATCTCTTTAGCAAGCTAGGACTTGTGGACCTTAGTCGCCCTTGATCGTAGTCCTTGATCCATGGACATCACACTCTTTTTCCCTTAACAAGGTTTTGTCCCATGAGGTTTTCCTTGTTAAGGTTTTTAATGAGGTGATGCTCATGGGTCTTCAAGCTTAGCAATCTAAACAACTTCGATGGCTAAGCTTGAGGGGGAGTATTGGTCAAGAAAGGTTCTATGCTTTAGGGCTTGAATCGGTGTTAGCCTTTAATAAGGAGAGAAGGCTCAAGGGATCACGTGTGATGTTTAAGGAAGAAGAGAGTTGGTGTCCGTACAATGGTCCACCCTTGGCGCGTCGTTTACACTTGGTCTTGTGACCGTTGGAGCTGTCACTATCTCTCGGGATCCATGCTCAAGACTCACATGTTTCCTTATGTCTCTAGCCACTTTCTTTTGTATTGTAGCTTAGCTAAACCTAGTTTCTATTCTGTCTCCTCTATATATGTGTCAAAGACGAGAATGAATAAACACACTACTTTGGGAACTCTTTCTCTCATCTCTTTTGCACACTCTCTCATATCTCTTTATTCTGCTTAGTCTCTAAATATTCTAACACAGCATTTTGCCGAGAAACCCAAAATTGCTCCTTTTCACCATTTTTGATCATTCCAACTCCATTTCTTCACCTGAATCACATCCTCCACTCCAAATTGGCTCCAAAAGCACCTGTTTAATACTCCAAAACATGCAAAACTCTCTTGGACCTAATGAAATCTCCTAAGTCCTAAAACAATGCCTAAAGACCTAAAATGCATGAGATAAGACATGATTTGGACTAAAATATGTACACTAAATGATGCAATTTATGAATATATCAACTCCCCCACACTTATCCTTTGCTTGTCCTCAAGCAAAAAGAACAAATGAGAGAGAGAGGTTGAATGCATTGGGAGTTCATATTTCCTTTTAGAGAGAAGTGATCACAATGAGAATTCAAGTTCATGCTCAATTATGCAATGCAAATCCATACTCAGATATATATATCAACTCAACAAGGAATCTCCACAAGTTCTCCTCTCTCAACTCTTTCACATTCATTAAACTTTTATCAGGTGAATCAAATGATGCAATGTTTAAACAAGCTGGCTTGGCTAGGGAGAGGCTATGAGATTAGAATGATCTCATCAGTGTTCAAGCGGGTTTAATGCAGCAAAAGGATCTCTCTATGAATGACCAAACTTTGCAGAATGCTAAAGGTAAAAAGCAACCTATGCATACAAGGGCAAAGACTCATCACACCCCAAACTCTACTCAAAGCTTTCTCACTTGCTCACTCTCTCAAGAACCTCACTGTTCACACTCATTTTCCTCTTCACTAGGGGACTTACTTTTCATTTTCACTCTCAAGTCTTGGAGTTCAAAAACTTTACACAGCTCTTTTTCTTTTGCAACCTCTAGCCTCTTTTTCTTTCTTTTCAAAACATTTGAGCTCTTTGGCTTCTTTTCTTTTCCTTTTACTTAGAGGCTAGACTCTTTCTTTTCAAGACACCAGAGCTCACTTTCTTTAACTCAAAACTCCAAGACTAATTTCTTTTTCTTTCATTCCCCTAGCTATTTCCACTTTCTCTTTTCCACTCATCTCACCTTTTTCCACTCACCAACAAGTCTTTTCCCCCACACTTATTCCTCGCCAACACTCTCAGTTCCTTGATGTTGGAAAACAGCACTCAATGAGACCTGCCCTTGTCGCTCTAAACCTAACACTTTCTGCTAAGTTTGATCCAAGGTGTCCTTTCAATTCACACACAAACATTGGCTTGAAAGAAGGATGGATTCAAGGTGAGGGAACTGATCCATGATGTGGATTCAGCTACTTGAGCTAAGGAAAAAGGGCGGTAAAAACAATGGTTCTAGCTCAAGTATGTATGTCAGTATCCACAAGCTTATTCAAACAATGCATCACAAGATATTTTCAAGTCAAGTTCAAGGTTTTCACTTAATTAGAGTTTAGTTCAATTCAAACTTGCTTCTCAGATTCAGATCGTTTCAGACTTTGCAAGCACAGAATAAGATTCAAAAGCATATTCAGTTCAAGTTCTCAAAGTGATGTACTCTCTAGAAAACCTATCATTACTCCCTGCAAGATGCAACCTATATGATGCAACTAGACTCGATCCTAAAAAATGTGAATGCAACTAGAATGAACATTTTTTGTGAAAATTTTCTAATTTTTATATGCATTTAGATGCAACTTCATGAGACTCAAGACTCAAAGTGGAAAATAAGATCAAAGAAAACATGATTAGTAAACACTAAACTCCTCCCCCACACTTAAATAACACAGTCCCCTGTGTTATAAAAGCATGAGAGAGAAGTGAAAGGCAAAAGCAAGAAAAATGCAAAATGAAAAATTAAGAACTAGATGCATATGTACAAAGAGTTTGGAGAGTTACCAGACTTGTTCATGATGGAATGGAGGTATTGGACATGGAGGAGGATGCTGGTGCTTTGAACCCTCTGCTTTGAGTCAAGCCTCTCAAATGGTCCTTTTTGTTCATGCTCGTTCAGGACCCCTCTGCTTAGCTATGCCGAGGCTTCTACACCGAGGTGGACAAGTTTCTGGGTAAGTTGCAAGTGCTCCTCGGTATAAGCTCAAGAACACCTCGGTTTGGACTCTCCCGAGGCATACACCAAGGCCATGTTCACTGCTCCTTTGAATCGCAAGGCCGCCTGCTTTGAACTCTCTTCTACACCTGTTCCTTCAAGCTACACAGCTAGAACACTTCTAGAACCTGAGATCACTTAGCAAACCCATCAAAACGTTCTGAAAATACTAATGAAGAGATTAAAAAGATCTATATACAAGGATAAGCTTGGGGTGTCTCCCAAGAGCACTTTGTTTAAAGTCACTAAGTTTGACTTTTCAAAACCTTTTCTTAGTGAGGGAGAGGAGGAGCTTTAATGCTCCTTGTCATGTCCATGAATTCAAGCATGAGGTCCTTGTTCATCAGCTCTTGGACACCACCAGATCCCTTGTCTATGAGTTCTTGTGTGAGGATAGCTCTGACTTTGACAAATGGTCTTGATCTCACATTGCCTTTAAATTTGTATTCCACAGCTCCACCATCAAACTTCCATGGAGTGAGAGTTAAGACTTCAGAAGAAGACACAAGAGTGAATGGTTTAATGCTTGTTGGGCGCTTGTCTTGGGACTCTGAACCATCGCCTTTGTTGCTGCTGATCTCTTTCTCACCTGGTGTAGGAGGTGGAGGTTCCAAGCAATCCTCATCATCACTAAAGAACTTCTCACCATCAATGAACTCAAGATCAAGCTCTCTTTGGTGATCACAAGCAGCAAAAGGCTGATCGTTCTCTTTCATTCTACAAGTCCCCACATACTTCATCTCTAAGTGTTGAAACTCATCACAGAGACTTAGAGACACATAAGCTGGCGGTTCAATAGTTTTTTCTTCTTTCTGCAGCTGTTGTTCGGCCTTCTCTTCAGCAGCAATCTGAACTTTGTCTCTAGAAGCTCCATGGACGTCTTTTATAGCTAAAACTTCAGTTCCAAGGGTCACCTCTCCACTGAGTTGCTCAATGTCCTCATTGTCTTGTGAAGAAAGACCTCTAGGAGCAATGTCTTCTTGTGGACTATAGAGTAGACGTTCTATCTCCTTTATAGCAGCTTCATGATCTTTGCTCTCCATGTGATTCACTTGAGAGGTTAAACTCTCTATTTTGTTATGGAGGTCATTGTATGAACGCTTTATTCTTGTTGTGAGCTCATCTTGTCCCTTTAGAAGTTGTTGGAACATGCTGTTCAGCTCCATTTCTTGAGGCTTTGAAGCAGCTTGCCTTTGTGGAACAGACTCTTGCTGAAAACGAAGCTCCACCTCAGTTTTACCATCTTGACAATCTTCAGTATCAAGCTCTTTGTATCTTGCATTTCTCTTGGCCAAATTCTCAACAAGTAGCTCTCCTTGTTCTATGGTAAGAGTTGCAAAACGCCCATTGCTAGCTGTATCCAATGTCCATTTATGCTCTCTATCAACTCCCCAATAAAAGATAATAAGGATAGCTTCTTGTTGGAACCCATGATGGGGACAATCTCTAGTGTAGCCTTTAAGTCTCTCCCATGCTTCATCAAAGGTCTCATGGATTCTTTGTTTGAAGCCCAAGATGTCTTTCCTAGCTTGGATAGTCCTTTGTATGGGATAAAACCTTTGGAGGAAGATCATCTTGCAATCATCCCAAGAATTTACCAAGTGGGATGGTAATGCTCTCTCCCATTTGCTTGCCTTTTATCCAAGTGAAAATGGAAACAAGATGAGCTTGATACTGTCTTGGGGCACTCCTCCTGTCCTAAATGTGTCACACAACCTCTCAAAGCAGTCCAAATGATCATATGGATTCTCCATGCCAGACCCCAAGAACTTAGTTTCTTGAATCAACCTGACCAAGCTTGCTTTGATCTCATAGGCCGCAGCTTCAATTGGAGGAGGGTGGATTCCATACCTCTTTCCATGACTACAAGGAGTGTCACAGCTTCCAAAGAAAACGCCAACAGTTCCTTGATCAACTCTCCAATTGCAACTCTTAGTTATCAATTCGGCACCAAAAACCCATGCTTTCTCAGCAATCCCTCCAAAGTCTTGTTCACAAAATGAGATCCTCCATCAGAGATAACAACCCTGGGTACTCCAAATCTTGGGAAGATAATGCTCTTGAACAACTTCATTACTACCTTGGAATCATTGGTAAGGGAAGCAATGGCCTCAACCCACTTGGACACATAGTCTACAGCCACAAGAATATACTGATTCCCATAAGATGAAATGAAAGGCCCCATGAAGTCAATTCCCCAGCAATCAAAGATCTCAACCTCTAGGATTGGGTTTTGAGGCATCTCACTCCTCTTTGAAATGTTCCCATGCCTCTGACAGGCATCACATGCTGACACAACTAGCTGAGCATCTTTGAACATTGTGGGCCACCAAAACCCACTCTGAAGAACCTTGGCCACAGTCTTGAATGCTCCCATGTGACCCCCAAAAGCTGAACCATGACACTCTTGCAACACAGGTTGCATCTCTTCCTCAGCAAGACACTTTCTATACAGCTGATCTTTGTTCAGGACATAGAGGTAAGGCTCATCCCAATGGTATCTTTGGACATCTCTGAAGAACTTCTTCCTGTGGTAAGCATCTAATTCAGGTGGTTCCACTCCACAAGCAAGATAGTTCACAATATCAGCAAACCAGGGCATCCTCTTCTCTTGAATGTTATCCACTTCTTCAAATTCCAAATAAGAATGGAGCACCATCAGTGATTCCTCAGGAAGACTGTCATTAAGAGGCACTTCAGAGTCTATTCTCAACCTTGAGAGATGGTCTGCAGCTCCATTCTCTATACCCTTCTTGTCTTGTACTTCCATATCAAACTCCTGAAGTAGAAGAACCCATCTTAACAGTCTTGGCTTGGCATCTTTCTTGGTCATCAGATACCTGAGTGCTGCATGATCAGTATATACAATAACTTTTGATCCCACCAGGTAGCTTCTGAATTTATCAAAGGCAAAGACTATTGCCAGCATTTCCTTCTCAGTAGTAGCATACTTCTCTTGTGCAGAGTCAAGTGTTCTACTGGCATAGTAGATAATATGTAGCTTCTTGTCTTTCCTTTGCCCAAGTACTGCTCCAACTGCAAAATCTGATGCATCTGTCATAACCTCAAAAGAAAGGGACCAGTCTGGTGCTTGGACAATTGGTGCACTGACTAATGCATCATTGATCATCTTGAAGGCCTCTTCACATTCAGCATCAAAGATGAAATCAACTTCTTTACACAACAGCCTTGTCAAGGGCCTGGCTATTCTTGAGAAGTCTTTGATAAATCTTCTGTAAAACCCTGCATGACCAAGGAAACTCCTTATCCCTTTGACTGAAGTAGGAGTTTGCAGATTCACCATCACTTCCACCTTTGCTCTGTCAACCTCTATGCCCTTCTCAGATATCTTGTGCCCAAGAACTATTCCTTCCTGCACCATGAAGTGGCATTTCTCCCAGTTCAACACCAAGTTATGCTGCTCACATCTCTCCAAGACCTGTGACAAATTAGAGAGACAATCCGAGAAGGAGGAGCCATAGACACTAAAATCATCCATGAACACCTCAACCTTCTCTTCAATGATGTCAGAGAATATATGCATCATGCAACGTTGAAATGTGGCAGGGGTATTACAGAGACCAAAAGGCATTCGCCTGTATGCAAATGTGCCATAAGGGCAAGTAAATGTTGTTTTCTCTTGATCTCGGGGATCTATGGGAATTTGGAAGAACCCCGAGTACCCATCGAGAAAACAAAAGAAGGGGTGGTTTGCAAGCCTCTCTAACATCTGATCAATGAAAGGCAAAGGAAAATGATCCTTCCTAGAGGCTGCATTGAGCTTTCTATAGTCTATACACATTCTGTGTCCTCTGACAGTCCTAGTAGCTATCAGCTCATCCTTCTTGTTTTTAACCACTGTGATCCCACCCTTCTTGGGCACAACATGAACAGGAGACACCCATCTTGAGTCAGAGATTGGGTAAATTATCCCTGCCTCAAGAAGTTTTAGTATCTCCTTCTTCACCACTTCCTTAAGGTTGGGGTTAAGACGTCGTTGATGCTCAATAGAGGACATAGATTGGTCCTCTAGGTGAATCCTGTGGGTGAAAATGTCAGGAGAGATCCCTCTAATATCAGCCAAAGAATATCCTATGGCTCTCCTGAACTTTCTTATCTCACTAAGCAATGCACTCTCTTGATGCTCTAATAAGCTATCATTGATGATTACTGGAAATGTGGAGTTTAAGCCCAAGAAAACATACCTAAGCCCTGTTGGTAGAGGCTTGAGCTCAACAGGGGGTGCATCAGCCTCATTCCAATCCTTGTCCAAGCTGCTTTGGCTGGTATCTGATCCTTTGATAGCAAAAACCTCAGAGCCACTTTGTTCCAGTTCCAAAAACCTTGTCTCAGGACCCAGCTCTCTAGCATTGTCCAAATACAACTTGTACCCTTCACTTGCTTCTCCTAAGAGCCCATTTTCTCCTTGTTCTTGAGTTAGAGCAGCTTGAAGAGGATCCTCAGTGTTCAGCTCCTCAAGCAACTCATCAGCCAACTGATCCATTGTCTCCACATAGAAACATTGACCTTCAATGGTGGGTTTCTTCATCATCTCATTCACATCAAACTTGAGCTTTTCAGACCCAAGTTGAAGCTCTATTATCCCACCTCTCACGTCAATAATAGCTCCTGCAGTGGCCAAGAATGGCCTGCCCAAGATAAGAGGATCAACTGGTTCCTCATCCATTTCCAGCACAACAAAATCAGTTGGAACCTCAAAACCACCTATCTTAACAGGTAGATCTTCCAACATACCAACAGGCAATCTAACTGATCTATCTGCAAGGATAAGAGAGATCCTTCCAGGTTTGAAAACTCTAAAGTCCAGCTTCTTTGCTATGGAGAATGGCATCAAGTTGACTGATGCTCCTAGATCACAAAGACATCCAGAGAATAGAAGAGGTCCAATGGCACAAGGGAGTGTGAAACTCCCTGGATCAGTCAACTTCCTTGGAATGGACTTCTTCTGAATGATAGCACTGCATTCATGACTTAGTACCACCATGCCTTAAAGTTCTTTGGTCTTGTTCAGAATGGCATCCTTCAAAAACTTACCCATCTTTGGCATCATTAGGAATACATCAATGAGAGGCATTGTGAGTGGTGTCTCATTGAGTGCCTTCTCAAATACAGCTCTTGCCTTGTCCACAAGTTGCTTCTTAAATCTCCCTGGAAATGGGAGCTTGGGTTGGTATGGAGGTGGTGGCACATATGTCTTTTCTGGTTCAGGTTCCTTTGCTACCTCTTTACCCTTTTCTGTCCTTGGTTTCTCAGCAACTTGATCATCTTATAAGGCTGCCTCCCCCTCAGTTTGATCATTGCCCTCAATGATCACATTGTTGTTCTCAATACCAGGTAACTCCTTTCCACTCCCCAGTGTGATGGCCTTAGCATATTCCTTGGGGTTGGGTTCTGGTTTTCCAGGTAGGTGACCTTGGTTCCTTGAGCTTGATGCCTGGTTTTGCTTCGGTTCCTTGATTTCCTGCTGCATGGCTGCATTCTGGCTTGCAAATATCTGTTGGCCCTGAAGTAATTGTTGCAGAATACCAACCATATCTGTCCCCATATGTGGCTGCTGTTGAACCGTTGGTGGCTGAAACTGTTGTTGAACCGGCGCCTGTTGTTGGAACTGTGGTGGACCAAACCCTGGTGGTGTCTTTTGCTGCTGTGAACTGAAACTAGGACCTTGAAATGGTTGCTGTTGCTGACCAAAACCCTGATTCTGAGCAAACTTATTCTTAGGTTGAAAAGACCCTTGAAAGTTGTTCTTGGGAACAAAGTTCTGTGGAGCTTGAGGATAGGGATAGAGTTGGTCTTGTGGGTTAGCTACATTGGGGTTCCTGTAAGAAATGTTCTGATTGGCATTACCATACTGATATCTCTGGAACCTCTGATTCCCAATGTAGTTAAGTTCCTCCTGGGTAAGACCTTCTTCACTTATGTTCTCAAAGATTTGAGAAGGTTCCTCATACTCTCCTACAAAATGCATTGGCTTCTGAGTGGTGAATTACTTGTCTAATTCACTCCTCAACTCCTTTACTTCCCTAGTGAGCCTCTGTTCTGAGCTAGAACCTTCAGATCTATTTGATCTGTCATAGTCTTCACCATAAGTATCATTGCTCATTGCTAAGTTCTCCACTAGCTCTAAAGCAGCATGTATCTCCTTTCCAAGAAAGTTCCCATTGGAAGCAGTATCCAGCTGGTTTCTAATCTTGGGAAGAGCTCCTCTATATAGTGTGCTGAGAAGGGAAGCCTCACTAAACCCATGGTGTGGGCATTGGTTTGTGTATCTCCTGAATCTCTCATATGCTTCACCAAAGCTCTCATTGCTGTGCTGAGTGAAGCTAGGGATTTGGTTCCTCAGTTTTGCAGTTCTTGAGGTGGAGAAGAACTTAGATAGGAAAGCTTGCTTGCATTGCTCCCAAGTTTGAATGGAGCCTCTTGGAAGATTCTTTTCCCATTGGTGAGCTTTGTCACCAAGACTGAATGGGAATAATCTTAGCTTGAAATTGTCCTCAGAAACTCCATTAATCTTGGTCAGGTCACACACTTTATCAAATTGATCCAAGTGTTCTAAGGGATCTTCCATTGCTAATCCATGGAACTTAAGTTCTGGACCATATTCAACAAGGATGCCTTCACTTCAAAGTTGTTGTTTTGCACAGGTGGTGCCTGAATACCAGCTCCATACTGATGAGCATTTGCCCTGTCATTTTCTCCAACATAGACCTGTGGTTGCTCATATCTCTTTTGCTGGTGTTGGAAGGGCTGATGTTGGTGGTGCACCTGTTGTCTTTGCTGTACATTGGCCTGATGCCTCTGCTGATGAACTGGAGCTTGTCCCTGGTGGACATAAGCTTGTTGGTGCACCTGTTTCTGATGAACATGACCCTGATGTAGCCCTTCACCAACTCCATTACCAGCTACATTACCAGCTCCATTACCCTGAGCCTGTTGCTCCTGAACTGGTTGTTCTATGTCTACCACGTGCTCTCTTTGTTCTTCCATATCAGCCTGATCAATCTGTCTTCCACGCCTGTCCCTTCTCCTCCATGGTACCAAAAGATTTATGTTGTCGTTGAGAGGTAAAGGTGGACCACAGCTTCTTGATCAGGACCTGGTGTTCATACACCTAAAATCACAAACAGAACTTGAAAGTAATCAGTAAAAACAAGAAAATAAGCACTTGATCTCAAGAACAGATCAGAGCTTAATGCTAAACAATCCACAATTTGGCAACGGCGCCAATTGATAGACAAGACTTTTTAGGGTCTCAGGGCTATCAATCCCTTTGTCAATGTAGCACAAAGAGGTTATCAATCCAAGAATGTGGTGATAGACACTAAGCTATGAGATCAGATTCTTAATTCAAGCATACAAGTGTGGTTTTGATTGACTAATGACAACTACAAAGATAAAACAGGATTAATGACTAAAGAAGAGCTAAACAATGACAAGTGATATGGATATGATATGATGGAGGCATTCTAGACATGATAATTGGCTAGGGTGCTTTGGTGCTAAACTAGGAATGCTAATGACAATGATGAGACATAATTCAAATGATTAAGAGCTCTAATCTAGATTAATCCTCTCATGAAGGTATTAACCCCTATACTAATCCATTTTAAAACCAAATCATCATTTGTGAAATATGAATCAGTATGCATTAATAAACAGTTCTAAATGATCATTCAAGCAAATACTAATACATCATCATGCAGCAAATGCTTAAACCTCTAATACAGCTCTTTCAGGAATTTCATCAAACACTTTTGGTGCATGAAATTCCCAGAATCTAGATCTCAAGTGATATGCAAGGATCTAGCATAGAGAACAGCTGTTTAGAGAGATGAATCAATGAATCTAGCCTTAAGCACTCCTAATCTAACACTTAAGCACCCTAACCTACACATCTAGAACCTCATTAAGGTGACTACTCACTAGTCATACTAATCTCTCTTAAACCTTTGCAAGTTGAGAAGATTAGCATGATTAACGATGAGAAATGGAGATGGAGATGATAGATTCAGAAGAAAACAGCTTTAAACACAAAAATCTCTTAAACTTTCTTGATTAAACACTCGAATATCGATATTTCTCTTCTTAGTGGAGTCTTTTCACAAAAGAGGCAAGAGACAAAGGGGAATAAAGCTTAGTCCTTGGGAAAAAACCCTAAAAACTATATATATGTCTCTAAAAACGAACCGGGTCAGCCCGGAACAAACCGGGTCCTGACCCGGCTTTAGTGGATAAAGTGGAGAATGTGCGAGTTGGTCACCATTACTCCCAGGTCGCAGGCTCAAGTCGGTGTAGATTGCGAGTAATCCTGCGGTTTAGTTCCAAGTGCGGCCAACTCGCATGCCTAAGTCGCACGATTGTGGACTTAGCATTTTTCTTGCTCGGGAGCCTCGGACCTTATCCAGTGATAGCTTACCCGCACTTCTCAACTCGCAGCTCAACCTCCAAACATTCATCTTCAGGCTTTGCGAGTTAACCAAGTCGCAAGACTATCTCGCAGCATTCAAAGCAGCTTGGACCACTTCGCATTCCGGGAGGAGTAACTTCCAGGATATTGGTCCGAATTGTGTGATTCCCGTTTCAGAGGACCGAAGACTCATATATCTTCAACTTTGGTGAAGAAAGCTTCGGTGCTTGGGAAGTGGAAGGTTTCCTGGAGGGCTCGTCTTCGAAGTGCATTGACACGATCAGAAAGAGGCTTATAGACGTGTGTCCATTCCGGAAACGTTATCTTCTTGTTCACAGCTCCGAATTGAATGACCTCAAACGTTCTGGAAAGAGGACTCAAATATCTCGGATTCTGATGAAAGCCCCGTAAACTGAATCGGTCTGGAAGTGCACCGTCCTTCGCATTCTTCTGAGCTCATCGGGTCGGTCCAAAACGGCAGCGAGACAGGAGTTCCTTCCGACGAGCTTAACTCTCTGCTCACGTGTCCGTATTCTATGATTCTACTTGCTCTGGAACCTTGATCCAATGTTCTCCAACTTTGATGAAGCATCCGACAGCTGAATCGGACCGGAAGGTTCCCCGGACAGGCGATTTCGGAAATGTGTCTGCACCCGGAGATTTTGGCTGAGAAATTCATTAGCCGGTACGCGTTTTGGCCGATGAATCCACCCGTGGTACGTGAGAATGGCCGAGAAAAACCTTCCTGGTACGCGAGAATGGCCGAGAACCTCCTTTCAAGCTTTGATCACCATTTCTCTTCCTGGATTCATCTTTTCAGCTCCAAATAGCTCCAAATACACTTGATAAACACTCAAAACATGCAAAGACTCATTGGGACCTAATGCAACTCCTAAGTCCTAAAACAAACCCTAAGGACCTAAAATGCATGAAATAAGACATGATTTGGAATGAAATATGCAACCTAGATGATGCAAATTATGAACATATCAATGCATCTGTCACCATTTCATGCATCCTATCATGATCTAGACCTTGATCAGATTGATACAGATTAGGCTGATGACCGTAATTCGATTCATCAAAATCAACATGACTTTGATAATTACTACTACTACCAGCATTCCCATGAGTATTACTGCCATATCCTTCTCCATGTAGATACCAAACAAAATATTGCGGCATAAATCTTCTATTTAATAAATGCGTCCACACGGTTTTGGTTAGTGTATACCTCGTATTCTTGCATTTCAAACAAGGACAAAACATCTTCCCGCTATCTTTCGTTCTCTCCATATTTTTGGCCTGATACATGAATATTTCTAACCCGTTCTTGAATTCTTCTGTCAACGCCCCATCTGAATCTTTACGCATATACATCCAGCTTCTTAGCTCGTATATAGACATCTTGAAATAAACCCAATAATACTATATATCTCTTTCTATTTTTTGGACAATAAAAGAGACGGTCTCTTGTGTCACGTGTAGCCACGTGAATGGAGTAAACCTTTTAATATTATTACTTCCTTTTTTCAAAGAAATAACTACTAATTGGGTTACCAGCAATGGACAACCCAATATATCAGGATTTACAACACTATACTAAGGTTTAAGAGACCTAAAATGGGTCTCCAGGATGCTGATGCTCTTATGTTTGAATGATGATGTGTTGTGAATGAAAGAAGGAATGAAGATGTATTTATTACAAAATTTTGGACTTTACGACGCTTTTACGACAATTTTTTACATCGCTTTTACATCCAACCTTCATATTACGACGATTTTACGTCGATTGTGCGATAAAATATTTCATCGACATTTGTTAGGTAAACATGTTTTAAATGTTCTTCACCTACCGTCTTTGTCGACGTAAAATCGTCGTAACTATACATCGGATTTGGATCGTCGTAAATTCGTCGTAATGTTACATCCAATTTACGACGGTTTTGCAATAAATATCAAATCTCTCTTTTTCGATGTATAATCGTCGTAAAGCGTCGTAAATTATTCATCGTAGTTACGATGGTTTTCGACGTTTTGTTTTTTCCTCGTAAAATCGTCGTAAATGCGTTGTATATTTGCGACGATTTTTAAACCGTCGTAACAGACCGTTGGAAAACGATTGTTTTCTTGTAGTGTAATACTCTATGTGTGCTCTATGTGTGCGTTTATGCACGCTGGAGCAGCTTTGTAAAAAAGCTTCAAGTATAGTGAAACAGTAATAAAGTATATTATTGTTATAAGAATCTCATAAGGTATAGAAAGTTTAAATAAATTATAAACAACGCCTGAACCTTTACAAGTGTTTGAATATATATATATATATATATATATTTATGAAATCATTCCTAAATACTTATTGTATAATCCTAAAACCAATGAAGATGTAATCAACTTGCTAAAAACTGATGAAATTTCTTCTTATAACAGTTGAAAACATTCAGAAAGGTGATCTGCATGTACTCCTATTGTGTCCTCCTACGTTGCATCTGCTACATTTGTGTCCTTGTGATTTTGAACCGGGTACACCAAATTCTCTAACTGATATCTTTCTCCTTGTCGGAGGTCTCCCACTCGTTTGCTTACAAGTAGGTGGTGCGCATGAATATACTTGTACAAAATCTGGGAAATCACAATTTGTCAAATCTCCACATGGATGAATGTTCTCAGCATATGCTTTAGCCCAGGTTTCCGTCAAGTAGACCTAATCCACATACTTGTTCTCATCCTTGTTTGTACGCTTAGCTGCAGCAATAGCATGGACACAGGGGATTCTGTAGATGTTAAAAACAAGACAAGTGCACTACTTGTTTTCCAGATGAACAATGTACTTCCGAGTCTCGTCCTTTATTTCAAACTCATACGGATCTACTTGGAAAACATCATGTTTCATTGCAGCATTGTATCTCTCTAACATCGTCTTCAGTACTTGTGGTGTGACGAGCTTTTTGTGTTTAAGAGCTTTTTCCCGATGTTCATGAAACCATGTTATGAGAGTTAACCTAATGGTCTCATAGAGAGACATTATGGGCAAGTCATGAGCCAATTTTATAATCGAATTCAGAGACTCTGCAATGTTGGTTGTCATGATATTGTATCTGTTCGAAGGTGCATACAAGCAAGACCACAAGTTAGAAAAGACTGAGCAACAATTTAATAACATTCCTAAAATCAGTCATGCTGTTTAAAAGTTTTACTTACCTGTTCGAAAGTGCATAAGAGCGAGCCCATTTTACAAAATCAGATTCTTCCAAATATGCTGCTAATTTGGGACTTCTGCTCCTTATGTCATTGAAGATGCCAATGAACTCATAACAAGTGTAAGTATCAGCTGCAGCTTCTACAAGCGGCAACAACCCAGTTCTCCCATACTTTGGTGTTATATTCCTCAAGAGATGGATTCTGCAAATACCATGATGTGCAAGCGGATAAACCACTAAAAATACCTTTGCAATAGCATGAACTCTATCTGAAACAAAGACCAAATCAGACGCTTCAGGGATCACGAGTCCACTAAAAAACCAGGTCCACACATGTTCGTTTTCAGAGTCAATTATCCCAAACGCAAGCGGATACAACAAATAATCTCCATCTTGTGCACTACCTCCAAGCAATGTTCCCTTAAAGTTTCCCTTAAGAAAAGTACCACCCACAGCAATAACTCTCCTCATCAGCTCAAATCCTCTTATCGATTGACCAAAAGCAAAAAAGCTGTATTTGAATTTCTTTCCCTTTGGATCCATCTCAAGATAAACCTTTGATCCAGGGTTTTTCTCATTAACCTTAAACAACCACTTTGAGAGGTTTTTATAGCTATCCTTGTGTGTCCTCTGATCAAATCCTGAGCAAACTCTTTTCCAAGCTTGTTTGTATCTAATGTGTACACCATGGTCGAGTCTGACTTGCTCCATGATTTGTTTTGGATTAAGACCATACTTCTTTTCTCCATAATTGCTGCAGATTAGAGTCCCAAGCACCTTGGCAGTTGCTTGCCTATGGTTGGCGTTCCTATGAGTTGTATCACAGTTGTGTTCACTTACATAAGTCCTCACCACAAAGAAACAGAAGAAAGGAGCTTGGTTGCACGCATCCTCCAAGTGCAATTAGGATCAACTCGAACTTCCAATCCAAAGCCCATTTCCTCATTTAAGGCATTAACTCATCCTTGTTCTTAAAATGTTTATTAACATATAAATAAAAAGAGTGATGTTGATCAACAGAGCAGAACACAAAACATCAATAGTAGAACATGTTGAATTGTCGTCTCCATTTGGTCCATGAGTTAGCTACACAAAGAAAGCTTTTAGGAAATACTTAGGAATACATATAAGTTATTTAGGAAAACATATCTTAAAAATCCAGAATTTCTCTTGAACCGTGCAAACACTAACTATAATTACTTGCATTACCTATTGATTTCCTTGATTGAATGAAACATCTAGATGAGAAACAGTAGGTGCAGTTGCAGATATTTGTGTGAGTTGGGTTGAATTTGAAATGCCAATATGAGAAATGGGAAGATTTGACGCAAGCCGTAATGTATCAGCACACAAAAATCTGTTTGCCACAGATGTTGAATTGCCTTCTTCATTTGCTACATGAATTATTTTAAAGTCAATAATTTTGTTATCATAATTTAAAGTATAAATTTATTTATTAATAGAATAATTAAGAGTATGAGTTATTTAAATACATATTAATAAAATATTGATTATAAATTATGTACAACCAATCTATATATCTATGAGTGTTAAAATAAGCTAATTCGTCCATTTAATTGCTAAAATCAGCTTATTATCTTCTATGTTTTTGAAAAACTAACATGCATGGAAATACAATTATAAAAATATAATCCTAACCCGTTTATCATATTATTGTTTTTCCTCTACCAACTATTACATCACATGTGGCTAGTCAGAGAACCATCCTTGACCGGTTCGTTATGACTGATTTGGAAAAAAATAAATCCTCTTGCTCGAGCTCCTTTTACAAGGCTATCCGCCCAGAAGGATACCAACTCTAGTCGTAAAGGACGGCCAATCTGCTGGAGATTCAGACATGCTCACAAGGTCCGAACAATCGATCTGAAAATAAATTGAAGTCATCTGCCTTTCGCTCAAGCATGCCATAGCCCATAGTTGACAATCCATCTCGGCGTTAAGAGCCGAGAGGCTTCTGCGACATCCCTGCAGTCCAACAATCTCATTTCCCCTGCTAACCTCCAAACTCCACCCAAGACCGCTAACCAGTCCGTGATCATTCCAAGAAGCATCAATATGGCATATTGGGATCCGCAGGTCTTCAGGTAGTGGTGTTGGAGGCGGAAAGGGGGCCATCGTCCTAGTGTCTATTCATCATCGTCTCGGGTTAGTTCGCGATCTTCCAGCTTTCTGCTTCCACCTTTGCATGAAGCAAGGTATCCTCCGGGGAGATATCTTTCCCATTGAAAATTTTATCATTTCTTGCTTTCCAAATAAACCATCTGTCATACCTAACTCTATTGTTTTTCAAAAGAGAAAGCTCATATTTTGATAAATAGAGGTACTCAGGAAGAGACCCAGAAGGGACGGAAAGTCCAATAACGCCCATACTTGTAAGGCAGGGGGACATAAAAACAATAGATGGTTTATAGATTCCTCAAGATCCACAGCGAGGGCAGCGCTTATCAGATTTCGTGTGTTGGTCGGTGAGGTTCTGGCAGGTAGTAACGCACACTGATCGAGATTGCCACATAAAGTGTTTCATCTTTCCTGGTGTAGGACTTTCCATACATAACTTTGCTGTGCCGTGATACTTGGTTCTCTCATCGCTCCAGATTCTTGTTCTAACTTCGTCCTTCTAATCAGATCATATCCCAACTTAACCGAGTGAAGTCCAGATTTGAAATAATTCCATGCGTATCCATCCAAGGTACGGTTATGACTAGATCTTAACCCGAGGATAAGAGGGACATCCTCAGGTTGGAAAAATTCTCTTAGAAAACAAACATGCCATTGTTTTGTATCTTGTCGGATAAAGGAATATACCAATAATCTCAGATCCCGGTATCCGGTTTGCCGGACGGCTCTTGCAGGTCGAGCTCTAATATCCGGAATCCACGGTTCACTCTAGACTCTCATGTTTAAACCCGAACCAATTGTCTTCCTCAAGCCCACCTTCAGGAAAGGTTTTGCGGCCATAATACTCCTCCACCCATAAGATGGAGAATAGACGTTCCGGTCCTCTAAAGGATCAGATTTTCTGTAATATCTGTCTCTTAGAATACGAGGCAAGAGAGATGAGGGGTACTGAATAAGACGCTATAGCTGTTTAGCCAGAAGGGATAAAGTAAAGTCTTGTAAATCTTTTAATCCAAGCTCTCCCATATCTTGGGGAATGCAAATATTATCCCAGGCAATCCAGTGTATCCCACTGTTATTCTGCTTTGAGCTCCACCAAAAATTGGCGATGGCACTCCGTAGTTTTTCAGTCACTCCATGGGGTAAAAGAAAGCATGACATGACGTACGTAGGAACGGCTTGTGCAACTGATTTTATTTGAATTTATTTTCCACCTTTGGAAAGAAGTGTTGCTGACCAATTATTGACTCGGTTACTCAAGCGGTCATGGACATAAGAGAATACTTTCTTTTTTGATCCACAAATTTGTTCTGGAAGATCCAGGTACATACCCATGCCGCCCTCCGATGACATTCCGATGGCATTTTTGATACCTTGCTTTAAATTCGGGTCCACTCTATTCCCGAACATGATGAATGTTTTTGTCCAGGTTAAGCTGTTGTCCCGAGGCCGATCCATATATGTTAATGATCCTAAAAATCGGCTCCCTGTTGGATGCTCCATTGAGTAGTGAGATAAGAGCCTCATTACAGAGAATAAAAAGAAAAAGAGAGAGATGCCGCAATCCTCTCGATGGTATGAATTTTTCCATCGGTTCTCCATTTATAAGGACTTGATATGAGACCGAGGAAATTCAGAACATCAAGATTCTGACCCATCTCTTGGAGAATCCTAACTTGATCATAAGGGCTTCCACGAAGCTCCATTCTACCCGATCATATGCTTTACTCATATCTGTCTTGATGGCCATGAAGTTTTCTCTACAAACAGAGTTTGTACGGAGGTCTTGAAAATTTTCTTGTGCCAGCAGAATGTTGTATGTAATGAGACGCCTAGCCATGAAGGCCGATTGAGTTTCTGAAATTAAGTTTGGTAATGTCCCCTTTAGTCTTTTACTTATAAGCTTAGAGATAATCTTATAACTTACGTTGCAAAGACTAATCGGGCGGAATTCCGTCATTGCTGTTGGTTTTTCTTTTTAGGGGATGAGGCATATGTTAGTGTGATTAAGTCTAGGATCAAAGAATCCCGAAACGAAAAAATAATTTCACCAACTTAACTATGTCATGGCGGAAATCCTGCCATAATTTTTGATATAATTTACTAGTCATCCCATCTGGTCCGGGGGCTTTATCAGGGTTGATATCAAAGTGGGCTTCTTTAATCTCTGCTTCCGAAGGTTCCATTAGCAGGAGCTGATTTGAGGTATCTGTAACTTTCTCGGTAATATACCGGAGTGCATTTCTGGGTCTGTAGGCTGTGACCAGGTGAACAGGTCTTGAAAATATTGGGAAGCCTCTCGTTCAATACCTGTCACATTCTCCACCCAATTTCCATTAATATTTTTTAGGGAAATGATACGATTCCGGCTTCTCCTTTGTTTAGTAAGAGCATGGAAGAATTTTATGTTCTTGTCACCATCTTTGTGCCATCACTCATGACTCTTATGTTGTCAATAGACTTCTTCCTCACGAAAAGCTTAGCAGAGTTTCCTCCTGATTTCTTCTATTTCTTCTGTCGTTGTGTTCTCGTCATCTTGTGCTAAATCTAGTTGATTCTTTAATACCTCGATTATCTTTTCCGAATTAGTTGGAAAACATTTCTTCCAAATGGAGATACTCTTCCGACAGTTCGCTATTTTTTGATGAAAATCTTGACGTGAGATTCCATCAAAAGAACTCCATCCGAAAATCACCGCCTCTTTGAACCCTGGCTTTCTCAGTGATGCGATTGTAAACGGGGTGTTTATTTTACTAAGCTTCAGGTTTTAAATTTATAACTCTTAAATGTCTTCAAGTGCACAAATGTGCACTATAGTACTTAGGGTATTGATCCACAGAGACTTACTTGTTTCAGTATGAATTCACGCTAATGCTCAAATCAAACAAGAACTAAACAATTTGGGTTTTTTTTGGTTTTGGGTGTCACTACACCTAAACTAAAAGCAATTAAAAAGCAATTGAAAATGAAAGCATTTGAAAATCAAATGAAAATGGAAGGCTGTAAACAATTAAAAACAAACGCTGGGCTCAAGGGTATCGCAGGGATTTATGGATTAAAGCTATGACTAAAATAAGTAAAGGTAATCGACTAAGTATGTTCTAGAACTCGAGGCACGGAAGTATGAATAGCTAACTTTCGCAGCACTAAACAACTATCTCTTGCAAACCTGACCAATAGTTTCCACTCTGATCCTGGAAGGGAGTAGATGCAATAGTTTGAACAAGACTCATCAACATTCACAAATCATCTATAGGTAGGTTTCCACTCCTATAGTAGAATTTCTCGTTTCACCCTAGGTCAGACAATCAATGAAAGCTTTCGCAAAAAATCTTATCTAGATCGAATTCTAAGTGGCCAGCAGAGAATCACGCAGTAAGATTAAACGCAAACGAAGAACACCTAGAAGATTATAAATCCTAAATCTCGATTCATAGAAGAAGACACATGAAATTCCCTTTGAAAAACCTCTTTAAAACCAACTTGAAAACTACTTAAACATATTGTAACAAAGCATCATGAACATAATGAGATTGCTGAAAATTAAAAGAACAAAGAAGAAAAACGAAGAACAGAGTTGCAGGTGGAGGCGCGATGATGCTCTCCCTCGGCAGCTCCTTCTTCGAAGATGGCAGCCTCCTTAGGGTTCCTGAGGTACACACACGAAAATCTCTCTATCTCTCTCTAAGTCTGCGGTCTCCTCCTTTAGAATGACCTAAAGAGGGTATTTATAGCTTCTGGAGTTGTCCTGGACACTTAGGGCTTCAAAAATAGTAAAAGAATCGACTTGGGATTTACT